TGTAGAATAGTTATAAAATATAGAAATAATTCTAAAATATTTGGTATTGTTCGAAATATATACATTTTCCAATTTTTATCTCAAATATCTTTCAATTCTTTCATCATTAATATTTCTTTTATTGTTATTGAGATAATTTCGATTAAACATTTATAATGAAAATGAATCATTTTTTTAGAAAAAAGTAAAGTTTTTTTTATATAAAATGCTCTTCCTTCGTTTTGCATCAATTTAATTATCCATAGTATTATATTAGCATTTGTTAGAATAGTTATAATAATTTATTTTATTCTTCGTAATAGAATCTTGTAAACTTTTCGATAAATCTTTTTATAACTTTTCTATGACAATGTCGACATCATTATTATTGTATTATTATACATCACTATATGATTCAAACGTTGAATAAGTTATACTGTTATTGTATCTGACTCTAACAATGTAATCATTTATTGATTATATAGTATTGTGTCATACTTAACACAATATATGTGTACGTTTTGTGTAGCATAATCAGGACATTATTATTAATTAATGTGTGTATTAAATTATTTCTATTTTAGGCGATCTATAATGTATAGAGGATTCGGTCTATTTTACATACACAAAAGGAAATGTTTACACAAAAGGAAATGTTTACATATGTGCATGCGAACAGAAAATTATATATCTATTATTTTAGTTTTTTAAGTCTCACATGAGATCTCATCACTTCGGTGTAAATTACAACAAATGGTTTGACTTTAGAACGAAGAAGTTCTCTTCAAATCTTAAATGAATATAGATAGATAGATATAGATATATATATATATATATATATATATATATATATATATAGAGAGAGAGAGAGAGAGAGAGAGAGAATGCGTTAAATGCTATTAAATCAAATTGTATAATATAAACGCATCTCTGTATTACATATTCAGTGCAGTACAGACAGAAAGGGAAGGGGAAACAACAACATATCGTATAAAATATGTATTTTAACTGGATATTACACGGATACATTATAGTGTACAATGATACTGGATTAATCAAGTTACTGGATTAATCAAGTTGACAGTAAACACATAACAATAAACACATGAAACAAATCTCTCTAATATATTTCTTATTATAGAAGAGTTTCTATTATTGGAAATTAGACCTATTATAGTAATTGATATATTAATTTATAATGATATATTATAGATTAATTACTAGATTGATACATATAATTAATACGTATAATTTTCTAATTATAAATTACAGATTATGCATATGTAAATATATGTATAATAATTATATGTGTGTGTATATATTAATTATAAATTTTATCAGAGAAAAAGCAATGATTTATAAAACAATTTGAAAAAACTATTGTTATGTAAATATAAAAATATTTATTTTTTAAATTGAAATATAAAATCAAAATTTTATCGATTATATCAAAATTCTGAAACTAGAGTTCTAACGTTTTACAAAGATTCTGTTTTTTTTATTTATATATATTTTTTAAATTTATATTTATATTCTTATATTTATATTTATATTCTTATTCACAATATTGATAATATTATATTTTATCTGCAATTTCTTAGAAATTATTGTTATTGTTTGAAAGATAAAATTATTATATATGCATTCTTTTCTATAAATGATTTCTCGAATCTCTTTTATACATAATCTTTTTCTCTCTCTTTCTCCTTCAATGTATCTTCTTCATTCTCACTCAATTCACTTCCAAGATAAATATTTGCACAACTTTCATCTCGCATCACATTTACTTATGTCTTGCCACGAGTAGCTCAAAGTAAACGTATGTAATTGTTTACTTGCGTCTTCGTCAGAAATTTAGGATCTTCCGCTTGTCAATTTTCCTAATTAGCGCTAATTATTCAAGAGCGTGCATGCAGAAAGTTGTGGACGCGAGCAATTTCGCATACATGAGAATATAGAATTCACGGAATATTGATGAAGATGTAAAATTTCACGACTACAAAAGATTATCAATGTTATAAACATTGTAAAACTAACTTTCAATGTATGATTAACTTATGATTTATTCGAAATATTTAATTTTTAATAATTGAATCATGTAGAGCTATTATTTATTATTTTTGAGTTAACTTTGATTATTAAGCTTGTTATAGCAATGGTTTATTGATATGAAATGACGTTGCGCTAACCACAGAGCGCAAGACAGCATTGAACATATGGAGAATTGAATACAATCGACCTCAAGCATTTAATTTAATTGAACTAATAAATTTAAAATACAAATGTGTCATCGATTATTGAAATACTTGAACAGATTAAAAAAAAAGAGGCAGAATAGCCTCTATAACTTATACATACATTAAACTTTGTAATGCTGTTAAAATTCAGAACTTTGTTTTTTTTTATTCATCTCTAATCGTCGAATTTCAAAAACATAGTTCTAATTTATTTACAATCTCATTAATTACAATCTCATTAATTACAATCTCATTAATTACAATCTCATGTCTGCAGAATACGGTGTCTTTAGATATGTAAAGAACGGAAGAAGTTGAAACCACTTGGAAATCCGCAAGAGAGAAAATTATCGAGACGTCCAAACTTCGACGGTCCGTAGGATGAAATTATGTGACAGTTTCTGCAGCTTTTGTTTCATTTCTTACATAAATTATGGATAATCCCTTTAATTCTTCCTCCCCAAAACTTACAACGCAGGAGGCATGAGTTGATTTTAATATATTAATAATAATTATATCAGCTTAGCCTATGATAATATCAATTTTATAATGAATTTAAATATATGCAATAAAGATATATATATATATATATATATATATATATATATAGAGAGAGAGAGAGAGAGAGAGAGAGAGCATGGTAAATATCTACGTAAAATGAAATAAAAAAGAATGATAAATTATTTTAAAATTATTTTAAAAATAAAAAGGAAAAAGTATAGAAACATAATGCATTATTATATATTATAGTTGTAAGTATAATTTTTAATGTTAATTTGAGAAGATACTTTCTTGATCATTTATGTAAGAAATATGTAAGAACAATTAACATTTCGAATAGTGGGCATATCTTAAGGTTGGCTCACGCCATAAATAACGGCCGACATGCTAGCTAAATTCTAGTCCGACCCAACTAGAACGTAATTAGAAATTCGCCGCGAGAATCATTGCCAAGTACCAAGCTGATTGAAATTTTATAGCATGCTACAAATTTAAACAACCCCAATTTCTTTGATAACAAAATTCAATATTTGTACAAAGCATTGTCAATTCTTTCCATACTAATTATACAAGTAACGTTTTTCTTATAGTAATTAATTTTTCTACATTAATTATGCAAATAATGTTTTTTTCTATAGTAACACAAACAAGAGTTTCAACTTAATTTCAGAACAATCGATATATAACTTTTATTTATATATAACTCGAAGAAGAATCTTTTTGGGAACTTATATTTATATAAAATTATTCCACACTAAAATTGTTATCGAAAATCGTTAAATTTAACCAAATGTTTTAGAAACATCCTATATGGATTGGATTGGTGATCATTATTATTAGACTCATTTTTTTTTTGCGTCATAAAATTGGAGACGAAACGACGATTTTTCGTCGATTAAATCCATCGACGCACCGATTACTAATTTTGACGTGTAAGTCAATATTTACCCCAAACTCTAGGCCATCCCACCGTATAACTGTCGATATTTATGGAGAACAACTCTTTAATACCGGCGCCGTACTGGTGTCAATCGCTGTTCCGATATACCCGTGAAATCGATAACCGTTCTTCGTTTATCGGTGATGCGAGCTTTTTGATGATCTCTTGATAAACTTTTCTCTCTCAAGTAATCAAAGTTACAAATTGGATTTGTGTGACGAGCGATAAAAATAAGCGTGATATGGAAATAATGTGAATTATTAAAGAAACTGTTAAATAAAATTTGTGAGATTATGTTACAAACCGTGATAAGTCTGATTAAATTTTTAATTATTTATTATCAATAATATTAATGCTGTAATGTAATCTTTTAAGTAATGCGTTAAATAACGTATAATGCTTTTATTTCTGTCTCATGCAGTTTCGCATAAATCGAATTTAACGTGGTTATTCTAAAGTTCTGTGTGATAAAATGATATAGTGTATTATTGATATACATGTGTATTATTAATTTAACAAATTAAATTTATATGGATATATACATATGTATATACACATATATATATACTTACAATTAATATTTTAGTTTAAGAGATTATTTCTCGATTTTTTGATATGAATGAATTTGTTTTAAATGTTATTTAATGAAATAGTACATCTAACTAAAAAATGCAAAAAAGATAAAATAAATAACTGATAAAATAAATGAAATAAATAACAAATAGTAATGACAACGATGATCATACAAATGATACATGCGAGTATGTAGATAGTTTTCTAGTGTCAAAGGGATATTCGTGATCGCTAATTGGCGCGTCGTGGATTAATTAACGCCTCGCAATCCCATTGTGCAACAGTTCGTTTTCTACTTTCGTGAAATAACGCATAAAACTAACGAGATCGTTAGCGGCAACCGGCATTTTCGTGGAATTAATCGATCTTGCGCCGATTAATTGAATTAATCCCCTTTCTATCATTTCCCTTTCCATATTCTACATTTATTCTTTTTTTTTAATTAATATGATGTTGATATAAAAATTGGATAAATCTGTATTAAATTAATAATTTTAGATACCCGTGAGAAAGATTATCTTTTATCAGATATGTAATATTCTTCCTATTCAAATATTTTCTGGATAGTTATATATATATTTTAGTGAATTTTCTTTAAAACATACGCTTTCATTGAATTAAAAAATAAAGATGGTTTTTAAAATAATCTTTTCTACGGATTTGTAAAAAATTCATTTTAATTTTCTTTTATATTTTTTACATATACATATTATTATTATTATTTAAAATAATAAGAAAAAGCTATTTGAATTCTTTTCTCTTTATTTCAGGCGATGAAGATGAGCAAAGTGGGCAACCAAACCAATTCGCAGGACCCACAGGCGGTGAATTCACGCGTTTTCGTCGGAAATCTGAATACATTTCAGTGTAGCAAAACCGATGTGGAGCGAATGTTTCAGCGCTACGGCCGTTTGGCTGGTGAGTTTATTATTAAAAATTGTAATTTTTGTAAAAATGTTTTAACCTTTTGAAAGAAGATTAAAAATTAAACTACTAAAAAGCTTTAGCTTCCTAAAAATCTTTCCGAAAAATATATTTTAAGTTAGATATGCTGAAAAGTTAGAAAGTAGATTGCACAAAAATGCAACTAAAAAGTGTGAATTGCTAAAAAATATTTGTTGAAAATAATTCTTGATTTGTTGAAAATAATTCTTGTAAAATATCTTTAATATATTTTACAAGAGTTATTTTCTATAAATTTCATTTTTTAATGCAGTTTATGCTGTACGATGTATTATTTTGGAAGAATTTGTCATAGAAAATCATTATGTATTCTAAAATTCATATTATAAATACTATAACGAAAGGAAGATTCAATTGTTGTGCAAAAACTTTAACTAAGTTATTAAAATTTATATTTTTATTTTATTTTTAGAATTAAATATCTCGAGATAAATAACAAATCTAAATCTAGATAAACAGATAATTTTCTGATTTCATTTATCTTATCTGCATCTTAATTCATTTTAAAACAAAATCTCGTAGAAATATTTCGTGGTCAGGCAATTTCACCGGGCAGCAATTTTTTTCCGATCCTTTCGTACACGAATATTAATCCTGCAAGATATGAAATCGATTTCTTTGCGCAAGACAGCAATATTAATAAGAATAAGATAGCGATGTAATAAGAAAGATGAAAAGTGATTGTTGAAACGAGAGAATTATTTGATCATTTCCGAATTTGTTCTCTATTCTTTCTGAAATTCCCGATAAATCGAATCGCGTGAGAAATCGGCGGTCTGATAACATTCGATAATTCGCGATCGAATAACTTATTATCCAGCGGAAAAATTGCATCGGGAAGAATGGCGGAAGGGGTAGCGGGACTTCTGGAAAATGGGATCCCGGTAACGCAATTTGTGCCACGGCGACTTGACCTTCGATAGCTCGAATTGGATATCCGTCGGTCTCCAGTTTCAGGAAGAGCACGATGAGTGCCGCTATCTTCTCTTCCTTTGTAAGCCGTAACCTCGTTTACCCCGCAATCGCAGGATTTGTTATCCCGGAAAATCATTTTTCCCGCGCGGGAGCTTTCCTCTACTCGGGAAATGAAATTACAATTGTGATCTAGAATGATAGATAGATGGACGATGATAAGTCGAGAATGACTATGTGACTGAGGTCACGTATGATAGATTGACGATCGAAATAATAAGAAATCGCTTTATTGAATTTATTGTGAATCATTTATATAACTCGACATATAGACGGAGAATATTTCATATCTCATGCCTTTAATTTTAATGATAGATTTTTTTTGGAGTTGAATTTTTTTAATCAAAACATTCTCTAGATTTTTCTCTTTCCCTCTCTCTCTCTTAAAACATTATATATCTTTGCAATTAAACTTTAAATAAAAAAATTGTAAAGAAATTTAAAATTTGTCCGAAGGTAGAAAATTTATCTGAAAGTGATTATAGAATATGATTTTCTCATTCAATTATATTACAAATATTGTTATAAATTACGCAAAAAACAAATATAATACAATAAATAACATAACAGCGATACGACGGGATAAAATTATATAGTAAAGATGAAGAATGCTGCGAAATTAGTTTCGCGCCGACGCAGGTGATATTGGCGTTCCAACGTCGAGCGTCGCCAGGTTTCATCGGGAAGTTATCCTGCCGCTCTGTCCGGCAAAATCGCAATTTCAAATGTCGGATGTCGAAATTACAAGGAGCTGCTAGCTGCCGATAAACAGCTTACTTTCTCAATAAAGGACGAAGACAATAAGGGCAACTTCGTCCTTGCAGGAATTAAGGCGTTCGCTGGATTAGAGGGACGCCGATACGAAGGATAAGCCGCGTCCTGTACGAAGGCGATGCCGCGTGCAACGCGCGATAGCAGATAAATTACAAATTCTACGAATCGAATATCTCTTTTACAAACAAAGTTTAACGCGAAAATGTATACGACCATCGGCTTTCGGAAATTACTTCTGTTTGAGATTCGCTTTAAAGACGGGATTCCTGATAAAGATCGCTCCAATTTTCATAATTTCTTTGCACGAGATTTACAAATCTTAAAAAATAAAACAGAAAGGGATAAATACACATCACAATAATCTTGTTTTGTAATTTCTTGTGTAAAATACACATGGTTTATAATAATTATTATAACAAAGAAAAATGTAAATACTAACCGATCACTTAAAAAAAATGATTCGATAGTTGTTTCGACAGTTAAACACAACACAATTAATTTATAAAATTTCAAATTGAAATATTTTGTCGATAGAGAGAGAGAGAGAGAGAGAGAGAGAGAGAGAATTAAAAGTAGAAAATTTTTATAATTAATTTCTATAATAAAAATTTTATATCTATTCTTTATTTAATTTTATTACATCTTATACTTTAACAAACTTAGACTCATAATTTAGCCTTAATTATAGAAATATTTTATGTTAAAAACAAATATGAAAAAAATCAATTAGCTAATTTTTTATTGAGTGAAACTCAATTTTTAGTTAGCCAAAGAATCTAAACGAAGAGAATAGCGGCATTTTTGGCACATCATATATAACAACTGCATATTGGAAGAAATCGTCTCTAGAATGATTTAAATCTGTACTGTCGAATGCCCAGATAACACTAGAGTGTCTCTCTCTATCGACAAGTTTTCCAATATAAAGTCGATATTTGTTCTATATAAATGCCAAAACATTGGAAAAATTCACTGTAACAGGCCCTCAACACAGTATTGCTGTTATCGAGGTACTCGGTCGTCACTTTGGAGAGTGACGACCTTTACAAAAACATAGTTACGAAAAATACAAAATAATTGTTACAAAGAGTGAACTTGTTTATTTTCGTGCAGATCTTTTTATAAAATCAAACTTTGATTTTCATTTTTATATTTCAACATGTGCCTTTCACTTTGCCTTTTTCACAATTGAATTTATTCGGTTATTTGGAACTAAAAGTGAGAATAAATAAATCATGTACGTTTTTTTATTATAAAACTGTTCGCAGTTTTCACTTTAAAAACTGTTAACAGAAAGAAAGAGAGAGAGTAGTTTCTATTAAAACTTTTTACTTGGTTCAGTCTTGATGTTACTTTTATTTAGATAACTCAGAATCAGATAAATATGTAAATAAGAGGATTCACCTCGAATGATCTTGACCATGGCATACGTTGTCATTATTCTGAGTAACTTTTAAAAGCTTTTAGCCGCTACTCGTTATTTATTAAAAAGTTATTAGTAAATAAAGATTTATGAAAATGAGTTTGCAACTTATGTTAGAGATTTATTTGGTTCGCATGTATTACATGTCTATTTCACAGAAAAAGCACCAGGCAATGTAAGACCTTGTTTCTCAAAATGATGAAAAATATAATAACAAACTCATGTGGAATCGTATAATTGTGAAGCTCGTCACACTGAAAGCATCAAGCGATGTAAGGTAGAAGATATTCTAGCTTAGCGTGAAAAGTTGCAGACCCATGAAGTTCTTATACTACATCTTATCATTTCTAGGATTAATTTTTGCTTATACATCTACTTTTCATTTTTTAATATTTTTTTTAACACTGTATAGAAGTTAATATTTTTGTCCAGTGTTTGTGAATAATTATATCCATATCAATCATGTTCAATAATTAATTTTTCATTGTCAGTCAACATTCGAAGTAATTTGTACGAACTTTTATTTGTTAATAACTATTTAATAAACAATGAATGATGGCTAAAACGTTTTGGAAATTATTCAGGTTTATAACTTTAGTCACAACATATATATCAAGTTAAAAATCATTTGAGTGAATCTTTTCATACATATACATCCTTATTCAGAGTTGAATTTTTCTTTAGAAACACTTTATTGGATATATTTCCTATAATATTTTATTTTTTTCTTAAACACAATAATATACTCACACATATTCATACTTAAAATTTATAATTGCTAGAATACAAATAATTAACAAAAATATTATTTATTGACATCCAAAAAACGGCTTTTTTCTCTTTTTTCTTTTTCTGTTTCTTTCTTTTTTTTTCTTTCTCTCTCTTTTAAATTATACAATTTTATAATTTAAAAAAATGTAAATATTTCCATTTTTTTATTGTTTAAAAATAACAAATATTAAATTTGATAAAATAACAATAATGATTCTCATTTGTTTTGACTTATGGCTTTATCTTGCACAAAATCAAAATAAAATGAAAGCTCGTTCTTTGTTCAAGAGCGTTCTGTTCTTAGAATTCTTTTGGTACAATGTTTTATAATGGGGTTCTCTCTGTAACTTTATATCAGATCTTGTAACATTCTCAAGATCTCATCGCGAATGTTGGTTCTGTATCGATTCTGTTTGCAGTTGAACGTTTTCGAAACCCTTCAAGCATCTGTACAAAATCTCACGACTGATTATATTACCATTAGTGTCAGAACCGTTAGAATCATAAAAAAGATTGATATCTGCAACAATTCTATTACGATTTCCTGATACATTCTTATCTTTGTGTGAATGTAGTTTAATAAAATAAAATCAAATAAATATTTTTGTTTAGTAAATTAATTTTCTCTCGTACATGAAGACACTTTTTATTTCCATTAACAAAAACTAAATTCGTTAACCACTACAATGAAAATAGCATGTACGAAAACAACAAAATATAATTTAAAAATGTTGAAAAAGTTGAAGCTTAGCTAACTTTATGCTATGTACAGATAAAAATTAAATATAAGAAGCTTAACATAAATTATTATTTCTTGTATAAAAAAACAAATATATAATAAGAAAAAGGGATGTATATAAAAGCAATTTATTTATTGTCATATGCCAAAAATTTGTCTGAAAATAACATTTACAATCTCGAAAATAAAATAATGACGACCGAAGGGCATCATATCAACCATCCTGTACTCGCACATATACTTGCACTTACGGTCGCGCATTTCGCTATCGCGGTTTTTATGGCCAGAATAAATTTCGTCGCGGAACGATCTCTTGAGCGTCGATATCGAACTCGTGCACCCGCCGTGCACAAATGCACACATAACACCTCCGCCGTCCCCTTACGTATGACATGCGCGCAGACAACGATTTAAATTCTGGAATAAACGTTACGACGATGACGAGTTACGAGAATCGAAGATCGATATGATCGACACGACGATCTTCTTTCGACTGATACGCCGTTCGAAAAATGTGAGGGGTGGGCTTAAGCTTTGAGATATGAGGATGATATAGTACTTTATCGGAGAGTCGAGTTCCGAAGCGCTAAATGTTTCGAGAGACATCGACAGGATCGCTATGTAATACATGATAAATTTACTTTTGTCAAAAACGAAGAATAGATAAATTCGAGGATTTCAACGTCAGTAGGAAAAAATTAAAGCAAATTCGGAACCAAACAAAAGTAACATGTTTTTGCAAACATAAAAAATTGATAAAATTGTAAATCATAATTTTAATAAATTATTTTTATAATAAATTTTTTTGCAGTAATATGTAGGCATGTATTAAATTTCTTTTTTTCTTGAATGATATAACGGGATAATAATTTTTTATAAAAAATGTTCAAAACAGAATTTCAAAAATTTCAATTATATATTTTGTTATGCTCAGTTGAAACTTATATACCGAACTTATAAAACCGAAAGTGTCGAATTATAATTATTAACAAATATGGTTAATAAATTATACATAAGAAATAAAAGAAAATTGAAGAATGTACAAGCATTTTTAAGTCAAATAATTATAAATTGTAAATAATTTAATGTCGCTAGTCGAATAATCAAAGGATCATTGAAAAATTGTAGTCGACCAAACTAGCCAAAAAATTAATTTTATTAATACGACGTTTCGACCATATGGTTGTGGTCCTTATCAAGTATACACTAGAAAAGATTTATAAATAAATACATTAGTTAAATTAACGGTTTGAATACATAGTAACGTAACAAAGAATTAAAGTGTGAAACAATCTTTACCGATGTAATAATAATCAGAAGGCAGGCGTTAGTGGTAAACATGTAAAACAACGCCTTCCTTCTGATTATTATTACATCGGTAAAGATTGTTTCACACTTTAATTCTTTGTGCGTTACTATGTATTCAAACCGTTAATTTAACTAATGTATTTATTTATAAATCTTTTCTAGTGTATACTTGATAAGGACCACAACCATATGGTCGAAACGTCATATTAATAAAATTAATTTTTTGGCTAGTTTGGTCGACTACAATTTTTCAATGATCCTCAAATAATTATATTTCGGGTAATTAATTTTTTGAATATTGTAAACACTTTTTTATATCTTCTGTTTATATTTCAATTTTTATATGTCTTGCACGAAACTATAAAATAAAAAAGATCAATAAATGTTAGTGGGCTATTTATATTAAATTTATGATTATAATATATTCTGACTAATATTTGAAGTAACTGACAATGAAAATCTAATTAATCTTTTCCATACATTCAAGAAATAATCAAGAATTTAAAGCCAAATTATATTAATGCGGAATAATGTAAAATAGAGTTAGGTAATAAACAGATCAATAACCAAATAATTAAACTCATATAAAAATAATTTTTAAAAATTACAAATCTAATTAAATTGCACATTGTTTTAACTGACGTTTTGATTAACTTTAAAATTGTTTTTCTTCTGAAAATCTCGAAAAATGTATTTGAGAGACCAATAATTTTCAATAAATAGTAATTGCTGTTATATTTAAAGTAATTAATAAATATTTGAAACATTGTTACAGTCTTTTAATATTGTTTAATTTAATAATGTCTTTTAATATTGTCATGATGTATAACAAGTTAAAAAGAAAGATACAAATGATAAATAAAAGGATAATCTAATTTTTATTATTATTAATTTTTAGCATTTATCATTGGTTAATTTTTCCAAGATCCGTATGAAATTGAGATTCGATTATTTTGAAAACGTATTTATTTTAAAATATCTTTATTCAACAATTTTTTGATGTGTCTATTGAAGAATGAACTGATAACAATAGCAACGATGAAAACTATGAACATCCCTTGCGCCAAGCTTTGCAGCGAAGCGGATTCGCATGGACAGTATTTGCATTCCAGAGCATAACACGCGTACACATCTGTGTGAGAGTGCGCATATGCATGTAGGTTAGATTTACATATTTGTTTCGGCATAATGAATTCCATGCATGGTCAGCTGCTAACCACGCAAAAGTTATTACGGATACACAGATTACAGGTCGCGTCTATGCGACTTGCCGTGCGGACAAAATCGACCGGCAACAACGCGCTCTTGTTTTTATTAATTTGGTTTGCAAAAATATTTAATATTCTTTGGACTTGTATTTAATCATTTGGAAATTTCGTTATTTAATTTAGAGATTTTTGCTTCCAATTGAAGCTTGTCTAATGAAATTTTATTTTATATGTTTATGCGAAGTTTTCTAGTTAAAAAGAGTTACTTGTGAAAAAGTTTTTAGTTGTACAATTATGCGCGGTACTCTTTCCAAATATATTTATAAATATATTTATAAATATTTTAAATGGTTCTAAAATCATAATTTTCCTTCTCTTCCTCCTCTCTCTCTCTCTCTTTCTCTTCGTCTTTCTCTATCTCTCTCTCTCTCTCTCTCTCTTTCATTTGTTTAACATTTTATAAATTGCAATTATTTTATTTGACAGTTCTGTCTTTTTTATAAAACATATATAGGATTATTTATTTGAAAGGATTCATTTGATTATCTCCATTACTGAAAGTTTTATGGAACACTTTTTAGATAAAATTTATTCTGTTATGAAAAGACCGTAGATATATAAGCTTTATATTTTTTAGCTTTAAATTATTTTAAAATGAAAAATATAAATGTTTTAATAAAGTCGTATTTTTTATACGAACGTATATATTATAAAATTTATTTTGTGCTTTTTTATGTTTTTGTTTTTGTTTTTAAGTTGTTTTATTTATAATTTAAATAAACGTACTGGTTACAAACGAATATATTTAATTTTTGAATATTAAGTTAATAGATAAAACATGATGTATATGTTGAATAATGAAAATAAATTAAAAGTTTATGTGTATTAAAAATATGTTTGTTCCATTTAAAGATACTAATAAAATATTTTTTTACGCGAATTTATTTATTTTACGAATTTTACAAAGTTTAATTGACCTTTTCGCATTTTTCAGGTATTTCTATGCACAAGGGTTACGCATTTGTGCAGTTTACAAATCCGTTTGATGCACGCAGTGCGTGCCTCGGTGAGGATGGTCGCACCGTCCTCAGCCAGATTCTCGGTGAGTAACCTTCTATTCTTTTATCATATTGTTTGAAGAGTTATTTTAAGAGACACAAAGAAGATCGCACGTATTATATTTCTAAAAAATACTTTGCTAAAAGAGATTTTATGTAACTTGCAACATTGTAAAAAACTGTATATAAATATCATTATATATTTTATAATTTTATTGTATTCTATAATATTTATAGACGAGACATTTAAAAAAGATTTTTACGTCTAATAATATTTTTATACATTTTTATACGCGAAAAAGATTGTTTATTTGCCTACAAATATTATTTTTTTCACTAATATATTGACATATATCGACACTTTGTAAAGCGATAATGAAACACAAGGAATGAAAAAGCGATTTGCATTAATATGCAACGAAGCGTAACATGCTGGCAATATGAAGGATCACTTTGACGTGATCATTTATTCAACACTTGTGGGAGAAAGTGTATCACTCTTAGCGTTCACGAAACGACACCAAGCATCCTCTATAAGACATATTTATGACTTGTGCAAAAATATAAAAAGCACGCTTCAGGTCCGTAATAGATATTGAAAATGTAATATTGAAGAGTGAGTCGGCTAACATAAATTTTTTCAGATATATCATTGTATCAATTTTTTTTATCGAAATTATTTTTCTCTACTTGCGCGAGAGGAGAATAAAATAAAAATATTATTAAAATATCATTATTATTACCTATTATGCATATATTGCATTGTTATACCGAAAACAATACCATTAGTCGAAGTATATTTGGTCTAGATTTTTAATCAATCTTTTATTTATTTTATATAAAATGAAATTTGCTAAATCTCTTGATTAATAAATAAATCAAGTTTAAAATTAGGAAAACTGTAGTTATGGTTTTGAAAATCTTCCATATTGTTATATTAACAGCAAATCTTGTAAAACGAGTTATACATAAAATTGCTTCATCGAATGAAAAAAGATTTGCTTAAAATGAAAAGTCATTCATGCGGATGTAAATTATGAGAATCACGTGTATTTCCCTCGCATCTGGCATCCTAATCCAACATAGCTGACGTGGGTAAATGCTGGTTCTTAAGATATTAAATTAGAAACACCGCATTCGCATTAGGACGCGCGCGCAGAAATTGCGGAAACCCGGTTTTAGAAGGCCATGGGAATATATCCCGCCGATCGTTTGGTTTATGACGATATATAGCATAGACCGTCTTACAAAGGGAGGGTTGAATATCGCACGCGTGAAATAAGCGAATGTCGACGATAGGATTAAAATCTGGGAGTTAATGCTCTCACATTCGGTGTACACACGCGGTTATTATAAAGCGACGCTACATTTCGTTCAATAGAGAAGATCCTATCATATTTCCCTACTAAACATAAATAAAACGTTATAATTAATGATGATAATGATTTTAATAACGAAATATAATTAATTTTAATGGCACAATTGTACAATGACCCAAATTTTTTTGAGTAATTGATCTTTTGATTTAAGCTGATATTTTCGATGCTTGTTGTATTATTAAATATGCAATTAGATAAAATATAAAAATATCAAATTATTTTTATTTATATTTTTTAGTAGTAATAATAAAATATAAAAAATAAAACCGCACTTTCTCTCTCTCTCTCTTTCATTTTTTATATTCTGTTTACTAAAGAAAAATAATAAAAATATATAAATAATAATAATTTTTATTTAATAAAGAGAATAAATTATGAAAAAGAACGCAAAATTTTATTTTTTTATTATTAATTAAACATTAATGTGTACGTTTTTATGTTATGGATTTAAAAAAAGAATTATGATTCTTGCACAAATTCGAAATAGCCGTGCCATTTATTTGTCATATATGAGAAGCGCTCATGAGATTGTTGAACACGCCCGAGGGACGTGAGATTGTTGAGGCGTATCCTATACGTTCTCCCGTAATCCATGTCCTTCATGTCCTACATGTTCCCCGTATGCTATCTCTCGAGTATCGAATGCGCGTATCAGCATCGAATTTTTCCGGACACTCTCTTCCTACCCTCTCGTACCGATACAACTTTTTTCGGCATCCTTCACTAGCTCTGTTCTTTTATCCAAGTATTTCTCTCATTGAGCAAATATACCCTCTCCTTATTCCTTCTTCTTTATAGCTCATTCTTAATTTAGCGAACCGAGTTTGTCATAGTTTGAAATTCGTTACTCATGCAATATGTAAATATAAAATGAAAGGAATAAATTATACGTTGCAGCGTTCTCACAAAGAAGAATGTTTTCCCTTCAAAAGTTTTCGCCGCACACAAATTCGCTATAAAATATAATTATTTCAGTTAAGATATGTTTGCATTTCAGTTTGATATGTTTGGGAACATGGAACTTCTTGAAATTTGTACAAAATTTAAAAATTCCTATCGGCTATATTTTAGATTCGTACGCAACTCAAAGCCATCCGTACTTTTATCCAAATATTTCTCACCGTTTCTGCATTATAGCGCAAAGCTGTCCACCCTCCTATTTCTAACCCGCTTTCCCCTCCCCTGTGGCAAGTTGCACTTGTAAATGCACGTCACCGTTCGCGCGCGCGCACCGTTCGCGTGTATATGTGCTTGTCCGCCCCGAAGGTAGGCGAAGCATCGGGCGAACCGCCGGAAACACAGTTCTTGCATTAGCCGAAGAAAGATTTCTGGGGTAATCGTGGCGTAGAAACTGCCATCCCGAGAGAGAACGGGTAAAGAGAGACAGAGAGAGAAACGAAGAAAGAAAGGACGCGCACGCGCGCTTGTCGTTCTTATTGGCGTGGGTCAGGACGAAGGATGGCGGCAGGGGGTGGTTAGCGATGGCTAATTCCATCGGGTTTGCGAACGAACGGAGTAAAAGAGTTCCCACGCGATAAGCTTTAACCCTTTGACGCTGCTTGTATCTCCCGAAAAGCGAATCGATCTTTTCTATCGGGTGGCGCGAAAAAGAAGAAAACGCTGAATGGTATCCTCAAGTGTTCTGAAAAAAGGAAAAAGGAAAAACACCACCGTCTTTTAGATTCTCGAGAGAATTCAAGCGAGTTCAACTTCGAGTAATTTATTACTGTATTTACTATTGAGACGATAAACCATGTGAATAAGATAAAATTATCTTTTATTAGAAGCTTTTATTAGAACTCAGCAGTCATTCAACTAGGTTCGAATTTTCTATCAATTTTTTTTTAAATATTTTTCGCGTTTTATATTATTCAAAATATATGCGTAGTATTTAATTCTTTTTGCGAAGATTGTAGAATTCTCGATGAAATTTAAACGCGCATTAAGTTTGTTTAATACTCTACAAGTTCTAAAAAAAGGATCAGATTAATATTAATTGTGATATTCACTTCGCGAACGTCATCACCGTTTAACGTCGACTATCCGGAAGACGAGGGTCACATGACGAGAGTAATGCACGGCATATGCAAATACCAGGTGGACGATGATTTATTATACTAATCTCGTTACGAATTAATGTGCTGATTTATGATGGCGCGATCCTTTTTCACTCTTCGCAAGGTGTCTCGACGCCGCATGAAAATGCGGCATAAGTCATCCCGTTGCACGGATTTTTTCAAAGCCAACCACCCCTCTCTTGCTCTACCCCCAAAATATCCGTAAATCTAACACATTCGTATATTAAAAACTCCAGGAATTCCTATATTTTTAGTGATTTTTTGTATGGGCATCAATAACTTTTAAGTTATAATCGGCTAAAAATTAAATACTGTGATAAATTGCGCTTATTAAATTTTATGTGAAGTTTTTAAGCTATTTGTGAGGTACTTCATTTCAAAATAAATCAACTATTCAAAATAAATCAGGATCTTATGTAATTAAATTTTTATTAGAAATTGATTCTATTATTTTTTATAACAATTGATCATAATTTGCTTAAAGATATATTTACATAGCATAGATTTAAATTTATAATAATTAATACTAATGCTTTATTCTATTAATACTAACATCTTGTATAGCAAAATTTTACTATAATTATATATTTTATTAGAATATAGTGCATAAAAATTTATTTAGAAAAAAAGTATATTTAGAAATACATGAAAGTATATTTAAAATAATTTCAAATGAATATTTTGCAACATATTCTTGTTTTATGCATTGTATTGCATATTTGCGAACCTGTACATATAAATTGATATTCTTCTTTTATTTTATTTTTTCTTTTAACATATTTCTTAGATATGACAGTTTGCTCTGTATGTCAGAATTTTATTATAATTCTAAAAGATGTATTTTTAAAGATTTTTAAAGAAAATACAAACAGCAGAGATATGAAAGTAGAACGTGATATCCGACAAGGCTGGCAATGCCGGACGTTGTAATTTTCGCTCTACCGGTGCTGAAATCTGAGATGTAAATCTGAAAAATTATTTTCTGGACCTCGAAAAGACGACTTTTAATCTTTAATTCTATTTAAATAAATAAGATGAATATTTTTAATGAATTATTTGTGAATATAAACTTACATAAAGTGCATTTGAGGTATTACATTCAACGTGCAGGAGGATATAACGTGCGTTGAAATTAACGATAATCTAATGTTCGAATGGACGTTATGCGAGAATGCTATTGTGTTTTTATACGACAACAATGGTTGAATATGCAGATAATGCCGATTTGAATCGCGAAAAAAACGAGAGAAAATAAAATTTGCACTTAGGTCGTTGCTTCTCCATTAAAAAAAATAAAGCCCGATATAGTCATTAATTCTAACAAGAGCAGAGATGGATTTTATAATGTGTCGCGCACGTGCGTGCCGTGACGCAACAGTCCAATCGTTGAAAATCCCTGACCATGCAGCACGCATTTCAATCTCTATCCCGTCCCAAATCCGCCGCTAATTAACAGCAATGCTCGTATTGTTTAATTTTATTATGCAACATTATTTTAGACTTCAGACTCGTTTATCCGCTGCGAACACAACAACGTCGTGTTGCGAGTCGGAAATTCCGCTAATTAGGGAGGGCGTATAATGTAAT